GATTGCTGTTAAATAGATGTCGTAGATCATTGACTTGTACTGGTGGTTGAAAGCTCATTGGTGTAACAGATGATCAGTATCTGTCTGGACTCGCCTGACAAGTGACGTATGGTTTAAAACACTAAAGATGGGGCCAGTGAAAGTGCTCAGCTCGTAATGGCTGACATCACTGTGGCTGTCACCAACTTTTACAGCAGTGGCTACAGATGAAGAGCGAAAGCTGCGTCTTTAAATTGATTTGTTTTATCAGTAATCATCGAAAGAAATCATTCTGATTAACGTTTGATCAGGTCTGATCTTCTGGTGTTGGGGCTAAACAGCTTTCTTTTAGAAATATATAATACTGCTGCTCTTGGACTCTTGGACAAACGAGGCTTCTGTAGTTGTTTTTCAAGCCCCATAAAGAAAACCACGTCACACACCACAAACTCTAAAAAGTCCTGTGAGCTGCAACTTCCTTTAGTTTCTCTATGTTTGCTTCTGCTCCCTGTAAACAGAAATCGTTTGTACACTGTGAGACAAAAGTTGCTTGAATGAGGGATCTCTGACAGACGAGTTATTGCGACTGAAAACTAAACCTGACAGCGTTCCTGCAGTTTTTCTGGACTTCCCCTCACTGATTTGATTTCTTGCCCATGACAGATGTCAGTGTGACGTCAAATCCCGTCAAACTCTCCGGCCTACAAGGCCTTTAAACCATCTCACTGTATGTGCCTCTCTCAGTTTATAACTGCATGAAGTCTCGATGCTGCTCCTGGGTCACGTCCAGCTCTAATGGTAAAAATAAGTGACAGACTGTGTAACATATCACCACAAACATAAAGGGAGTTTGTGACAGTTTGCAGCACCGTCACGACTCTTCAGATTACCACGGGGACTGCAGCGAGCAAACAATCCTTTCATCGTGTCACATCACCTCAGGCCATCGTATTTTACTGAGTACTGTGTATGCATCTTAAAGTACTCTGAGGTCATGGCGTCCTCTGTACAGCTGTACTTTTTGCTAACGTGATTTATTTAAAAAATGCATTTCAGATAAAGCTGTAGAAAAATAAGGACCTGCTGCAAAAAGAAAAAAAAATCAAAAAAGGGAAGAGAGCACAAGACAACAAAGTGGAGAAAAAGACAGGGAACAGAAAAACCATAGAAAACCAACTCGATGCGACAGGGACGTCACAGTGTTACTGATTTACTTAAAGCTTTGATCTGAATTCATTTCATTGAGTTTGTCAGTTTCCATGCAGTTTCACATGTTAGCCTTCAGTACCTGCGGACTCGTCAGGCTACGGTGGCACATTTGTAAAGGATCATTTTGTTCTGTGTGAAAATAATCTCATGTGACTTCCAGTGTGATGCCGGTAGGACCCCCTCCCCGATCGCACATCTGGAGATCAGCAGGGTTCCTCTGTTGAATGTCGGCCTCCACCCCTCTCTCTCTCTCTCTTCCTC